TTTTATATTTTTTATATTTTTTATATTTTTATATTTTTTATATTTTTATATTTTTTATATTTTTATATTTTTTATATTTTTATATTTTTTATATTTTTATATTTTTTATTTTTTTATATTTATTTTTTATATTTTTATATTTTTTATATTTTTGGATTTTTTGTATATTTTTGTATATTTTGTATTTTTTTATATTTTGTATATTTTTTTATATTTTGTATATTTTTTTATTTTTTGTATATTTTTATATTTTCATTTATTTTTTTATATTTATAATAATTTTTATTAAATTTTCTTATCATTTTTAGATCTTATTGATTAAAAAAAATAGTTTTTTAGTTCCTTTAATTTTTAGGAACTTATAGCATGCAACGATTTTTTAGATCTGGCAGGGGGTTTCCACCCAAAGTTTCATCTGGCTTGCTGGCTTCAAACATATTTATGGCTTCCTGAGGATACACCCTATGATAATTTATAAAAGTGATTATAGTAGTGTAAATAACCCTCTTTGGTTTATTAGGACGTCACAAGGCACTGATAACGAATATTTTTTTGTTTTTAATTTTTTTTTTCTTTATTTTTTTTAAGAAAATATATTTTTTAAATTCAATTAAATTTTTAGAAACTTTTTTTTTCTTTTTTATTTATTCCTTTTAATTTTAGATTTTATTGCTAAAAAATAAAAAAACGTTTTTTATTTGTTTTTTTTTTTAGAAACTTATTTAATTAATATTTTTTTGATTTATTTTTTCTTTGAATTTTTAATGTTTTCTTATTTAATTTTCGTAAAATTTTTAGATTTCATTGTTTTAATAAGTAATTTTTAAGCAAAAAACAAAATTCTCATATAAAAATTTAAGTTTATCGTTGATTCCTTCATGGTCCCATAATCGGATTTAAACCAAATTAGTATGGAACTACCTAAAAAAAAAATGTTTTTTTAATTCCATTTAATTTTTAGAAACTTATAGCATAGCAACGGTTTTTTGGATCTGGCAGGGGGTTTCCACCCAAACTTTCGTCTGGTATCAATCAAAAAACGTTGTCAGGCCTTGGACTATTGGCCCGGCCCCTCTGCAACCATATTCTTGAATTAAAAAGTAATTAAGAAAGTCATTGATTCATTGTTTATTCATACACTGGATAGAAAGCTTAACAGAAACCGTAGTATAGAAAGATGAACTAGAAAAGTGTTCCGTGCCCTCTATGCAAACAAGGCTACATAACTGCAATGCAATTAAGTGTGCCTAGATTCGGTCAGTCTAGATACCAGGATCATAACAATCTTCGCCGAAGATTCCAAACATCAACAGCCGTCTACGCATCGAAAGATAAAGAGGGTGGTCTTGTCCGGTGACCTATGGTAAATCCCTTCCGCGAACTCTTGGCGGTGGAACAAAATGAGCTATGCAAAATCTTGGTTTTCTATGTTCTATCGATCTTCAGTCATGTTTCAATAAGAGCGGTGAATTCACACGCCTCGACAAAGTACATGGGAAGGATTTGCTTTGTTAAAAGTTAAGATTAAGGCTTCGTTTTCAATTTCAGTTTGGAGTTGAGTGTACTTTTTTCAAAATATCCGAATTCTAGCGTAAGGAGCCCCACACTCTCCACAATTACATATGATCCTACATGTAGTATAAACAACAACAAAAATTAGCACTGCACTCACCTTCGTTATCGCTGCGACGCGAACGTGGCATACTGTTGTAATACTGCTGCATTTCTGATTTCTCAGTCGATTCATTCTCTTGCTTCTCGTCTTCGGTGTAGACTGGTGAACATGGACCCGACGAAGCGCTGGCGGCTGGCGAAGATGATGTAGCCGAATTAATGCTACCGCTTAGGCCATTTGCGCCACCACCCAAACTATCCACCGAACCACGCTTTGCGGCTATAGCCACATACTGGAATGTCGCTGAAGTGGGCGAAGATGGCGTTAGCCTATCCTCGCCCTCAATGAGATCAATTGATTTTTTGCGTGGCTTTTCTGGTGGCACAGGTGCAGTTGTCGAGGCAGCGGCAGCGGCTTGTTGCTGCTCATCAAGTGAACGCTGTAGAGCTGCCGTAACAGCAGCCGATTTGGCAGGTGGTGGAGGCGGCTGCGTTGCATCAGCCAGTTTTGTGGGCGAACGTACACGTTCTGGGTTAAACTTAATTGGACTTAGGTTCTTCGGTTTGGCAGCTGGTATGGGTGGCAATGGTGGCGATTTTATGGGGCTACCAATTTTATTGGTACTACGCGGTTTTATCTCAGGCGGTACGACAGTGTGACGTACCGGTGGACTGGGTGGATGATCCTGTGCTTGCTGATGCTGTTGTGCAGCAGCCAAAATGGGTGAACGTAGCTGTTCCATGCTGGTTACCGCAGCATTCGCAGCGCTTGGCTTGTGATTGACGTTTGGTGAGGCGGTGGCAACGGTAACGGCAATATTGGCATTCTCTTTTTCCCGCTCCCTTTCACGCTCCCTGTCTTTCTCTTTCTCTCTCTCCTTTTCCTTATCCTTCATTTGTATGGCCGAACCGGAAAAGAGCGTTGTGCCTGGCACAGTTCGGATAATGTCACAACGATTTTGGTCGCTATGCGTTCGATTTGATTTTGTTTTCGTAAAATGTGAAGTCCATTTCTTTTGTTTCTCAATTAGTTCGCGTGAATTGAATTTACGTTCCGGTTTCTCCGGCTTGTCGACACTACCACCACCAGCCGATAGTATGGCACTAACACCGCCGACCACCGATGAGCTGCTTAGCACACCGTCTTCGGATTTGTGACGTGCAATATTGTGATGTAGCTTCGTACCCGGTTCTACGATAAACTTACTATTACTCAGCGCTAAACCGCCATTAACTTGCAGTGCACAATTATTATTGTTCGCCAATGAAGCGGCTACATTGCAACCTGGTGGAAAGGGTGAACGACGTTTCGGTGGCGATATCGAACGATCTGAGGAACGCGACGATGAACGATCCGAGCTATTGCCCTCACAAAGATTATCGTCACGCGAGCCGGAACGTGACATTTTCACATTCGAATTCGAATTGTTCTCCACGCCGAGCTTTTCGAAAAGCGCGCGTGCATTATTGAAACGAGCAGAATGAGATTCGGTGCGTACAACTGTAGCCGGTATTCCAACACCAATGGCTTGTTGTTGCTGATTAACTGCTGCGGCGGCGGCGGCGGCGGCAGCGGCAGCAGCAGCTGCAGCGGCGCTTAACTGTTCCACCGGCTGTATTTCGATAGGTTTACGCTGGAAAAGATTCGCAATTTGCGAAACTTTACCAGCTGGCGTCGAATGTATGGATTTCTCCATTTTGGCGTTGAAGAGGTGCGTTCAATAGTGCTTTGAGAGTCGTCTGTAATGAGATGGAAAAAAGGAGAGAAAGATAGAAGTTAGTTTGAATATCAATCAAAGTTTCCGGTTATTTTAAATTTGTGTAATAAAAGTCAAACTTAATTTGAAACACCATCGAAGAGAAAAAATGGTTCCAATGGTGGAGAAAATTTGTGTCACAAGGAAAATAGCACCCAAAGAGAAATCGGCGGAAGCCAATTCAAGAAGTTCCTATGGCATAACTAGTATTTGTTCCTCTTTTGGCTTGGATTCAGTCCGGAGATGATCAGAAGAAAACCTCTCCCGAAAGGCGACGGCTCTCTTTGAGCCATGGAACTTTCTACTATAAGCTACATAGCGAAGTATACTAAGGGTCTTGATCTGGTTAAGAGTAAAAATGTTTCCTGAAGGGTAAACGTTTGTCTTCAATTCAGCATGCCTAGTGCAATGGCTGATCATCAGAAATAGCTTTGTGGAGATCACTCGTACCCAGTACTTCTCGGTTGGCGACTTTTTTGATATCGATGCAATCGAGAACTCCAAAAATAAAGTGTACCTCGATGTCGACCTTGTTTGATTTATTTCTCGCATGGTTTGCAGAAGAACTAGTATGTAGAACTGTGCAGCCCTTCCATTGAGAGAAAAATGAGTAGAGGTAGCCTACAAAGGCGTTCTCTCAACATCGATTTGGGTCGTCAACGAGCTGCTGGAGACTTCGGTGAAAAACGGCTGACGGTTGGTTCCTTATACGTACGACATAGCACCGATAGTTCTTAGGCAGGGATACCTGAGCTTAGCTAAAATCCAGTGAGTTGTTCTTTTCACAAGGAGATAATGAGTTTTGATGAGATTTCACCCGAAAGATTGATGGGTTGGTTGAAGCAACTTGCTCGCGTCTAAGCTCGCCTTTGGCGTCACCGTTCAAGCACGCCAAAAGTTTTTATTACTTAACTTTTGAGAACTATAAAAGCAGCAAACCCCTGAACCTTAAATTTTTTGTACAGCAGGGAGCCGTTTTGTGGCCCAAAAAATCTTAACACATTCCTTTCTGCTCCCAACACTGAGCCTTTATGGACATAGGATTTTGGAAGTAGACCAATTACGGACACGCAGCGGTCTTGAAGGTCCATTATTACGGCATAACGGAATAAAGGCCAAGTTGGATGTCGAAAATGATTACCTCCCGTCTTCCTGGAATTTTAGTCTTAAGATTCCCATACGTTTTCAAGCTAAGGAAAACAGCAGACGGGCAGTACTTAAATTATGGTATTTCCATCTACACCGATGGCATAAGGATGGAAACAGAAGGTGGCTCGGTTCTATACTCCAAGGAACTGCAAATAAGGAAATCATGTCGCCTGCATGAGTCCAGTGTCTACAGTGCATTTCAGCGGAGATCTTGAGCATAAGAAACTTTGCTTGTCTTTAGGTTTTTTTAAACGATGAGAGTAATTCTCATGAGAATAGGAATTCACTCTCATAAGAATGGATATTTACATTCTTCGTAGAGTAAATATCCATGGGAATGAGAGTAACGTCCTATTCTTATGAGAATTTTTCTCATCGTTTGCCAGAACCTTTATACAGAATAGTAAGTCTCTATCGTGGAACGTCACTATATTTGTTGACCGCCTGGGGGGCATTGAGAACGTTAGGTTCAGGTTCTAAAGTAGTAAATTCTAAAATAGTTCGGAAATGTCGTGCATCGCTGGCTACACTGCGTCGGATCAAAACCTTTCTCTGCTGGGTACCAGGAAATGGCCGAAGAGGTTGCTAAACACGGCGCGGAAATGCAAATTAAATTTGCGAAGCAGATAACTCCCTACTACCACCGATTTCCGATCTACTGAGGAGGGTTGAAGAATACACCACAGCCGTAACTAAAGACCTATGCATCAATCGTGACGACTGTGAGATCTCAAGATGCTTATGGCCGAGACTCAATAGGAGTCGTACAGAAGAATTATCGACGTTTAATAAATCGCAGTAAAGGCTCCATCGATGGCGTATAGATACCAACAAGCCTGCTCTGCAGAAGCTGACGGTAGAAAGAAGAAGAATAATCGATTCATCACTTCCTATGTCGATTCCCAGCACTCCAGACGAGGCGTCTTAAGCTTTTGGGAACACGCTTTTTCAATAGTTTGGGGGAGATAATGAAAGTGAGTAGCTCCACAGCTGGTCTAACAGGCCCTAATACTGACAATAGCGAGTTATTTCGGTTAGAAGGATGAGCCACCAGTAGATTGCCATTCACAATGAGCAAGTCTGCCTCCGAATGGAAATACCTAAACTATCTAACCTAACCTGTAAACCAATGCAGCCAAAAAAAAGCACACTTTATTGAGTAAAAGTTACGTTTTCTAGAGATTTAAAAAAAATTACCATTTTGCTTGCGTACACTTTCATTTTTCTAAAAACACACCAGCACAATAATTTGTCCAATTATGCGAAAAATAATAACAAAAGAAGGCACCAAATATTTGTAATGAAAACTTTTTCCGGTTCAATGACAGCACTTTTACCGTCGACACCCGAAAATCACTCCACTTTCGACTTGAATAAACACATACAGATCACGTTTCATGTAGTATATGTATGTATGTAAATATTTTTGGCTTTTATTTCTTGTATAGCGAATTCCGCATTTAAAAAAAAAGCAACTTCCGCTATTCTTTGACCACAGTCGGAATAAAGAGCAGAAAAAAAACTAATTGAAACTTCCACTTGAAATTGCGCTTTCGTACACCTTGCTGCGTAAAAACGTTAGCGATTTTTTTACCGTTTCTGGCTATATAATTTTTTTTTTTTTTTAGTGAAGGTGTTGATTTTTAACAAATTTTCAAAACATTTCACATCACGAGTACAACGTTGGCACAACTCTTCTACCAATTGAACTGAGTACTACACCGGCGTCGTGTGACTGAATGACTAAAGGCGGTGGTCGATAACAAAGAAGGCACAAGCAGAGCGTGCGTTGTTGAAAAGTGTTTTTTTTTTGCAAATTTTGTTTTATTTTTATTAATGGAGTTTTGCTTTTTTAATTGCACTAAAGGGTGTATGTGTGTGTGTGTGTGTGTGTGTGTGTGTGTGTGTGTGTGTGTGTGT